GGGAAAAAAGAGCAGCATCAGCCAGCACCAGCCAGCACCAGCCAGCACCAGCCACGCCACCCTCACCGCCCACCAGCTCCAGGGCGAGCCCCCCGCAGCCACCGCCCACCCAAAGCCCCCGTGACGCCCGCTCCCACTTGCCCACCTCCACCAGGATGACTTAAAAAAAGAGGAGAAAGGGGATTCCACGCAGCCAGCCCTCGTCTCCTCGAGACGGGGACGGGAAGCCCGGAGGCAGCCAGCTCGGCCGCAGCATCGCGCTCCCTCGGGAAGCGGCGCGGGGCTCTCAGAGCCGGGGCTTTCCGAGGGCTGGAGATCCCCAGCGCTCACACACACACACACCACGGGCTCTGAGAACCCCACCGGTCTTTGCCATGCCAGGACAGCTTTTAAACACCTCGAAACAGGCTGTCAGCACAAACCCGGGGGTATTTTATAACCCAGAGGAGGCGCTTTAACCGCATTAAGCCGCTATAAAAGACGAGGCGGAGAAGCTGATGGAAACCAGCTGAGCAGCAGCATCTCCCCCCCCCCCCAAAAAAAAAAAAAAAGAAAAAAAAAGAAAAAAACGGGGTTGGTGCATGGGGAACGGAGCCCCCCCGGTGTTGTTGCCCCTCGCCCAGCCCCTGCTCACCTCTCCACGGCTCTGTCCAGCAGGTAGAAGAGCGCCTGGAGCACCACGTGCTGCACGCTCCTGCTGGGGTGGTGCAGCTTGGCGGTGAAGAGGGCGATGGAAGCCCCCGAGGGGTCCCGCACGCTCTGCCGAGAGAAAGCGGGGTCGGGGGGGTGCCAGCGGGCGGCTCGGGGCTGGGGGGGGGGATCTCCAGGCAGCGCCCACCCACCAGGATGGTGAACTTGCCGCTGAGCAGCTCCGAGCGCAGCGGCTCCTCGTGGGGCTTCAGCTTCACGATGCCCTCCTTCAGCCGCGTCTCCTGCGGGGGAGATTTCATTTTTATTTTTATTTTTATTTTTATTTATATTTATATCAGCAAGGGGATGGCCGGGAAGGTAAAGCGGGAAGCAGCCAGGCACATCTTTAAGTGAAACCCCGATGCGGGGAGGGGCAGCGCCCTAAAAACCAGGTGGGAGAGGTCCCCACGGAGATGTCCTGCGGCCCCCGTGCGCGCACACCCCAGGGGCTGCCCACCCTCACACCACCCCACAACATCAGGAGGAGACACAGGACCACCAGACACATCCCCTCGGGGACTTTGCAGGGCTGGGAGGGGTTTTCCAGGCGGGTAACAGCGGTGCAGGGGGCACAGGACCCACACGTACCCGGTAGGAGTGGAAGAGCTCGATGGCCCGCAGGACGTCGAACTTGCGGGCCATGAGGAACTTGACGGCCACGTTCCAGGAGAGCGGGGACACATTGTACTGGCCCGTCCACTTGTTGATCTCCTCCAGGAACTGCTTGGTGGCCTGCGGGAGACAGGGGAGGCGTGCAGGGGGGGCTGCCCGGCCAGCGGGGAGGTGCTGAGCGCCCCTCGGGGGGAAGGTGGCCACGAGCGGGTCCCCACGCCCGGAGCATCCCAAGAGAAAACCCCAAATCGCTGTGCTGAAAGAGCACCGGGAGCAGGAGGGATGGGGATTCATGGGGCTGATTTATGATGTGCCAGCACCAGCTGCGCCCCAAAACGTGATACACTCAGAGAGCTGCTGCTCCCCGTCCCCTTGGGAAAAAACAAGCAGGAAACGGTCTGATGGAAAAAAAAACCCTAAACGCAGCTCTGCGGCACCACCACGGCCCCGAGCACCCCGGGGCATCTCCCCTCACCCCCTGCGTACACCCCGAGGGGACACAGAGAATGGGGAAGGTCCCCAAAACGTCCCCAAAAGCAGCACAGCTCGGCCTTAAAGCGGGAAGGTGCCTGCGAGGCGCTGCGGCTCCACGGAGAACGGCACGGGGAGAGCGGCGACATCCTCCCGCCGTGACGCAGGGCCGGCGGAGGAAGCAGGGACGTCACGGGGGGGCCCGGGGCGTGGGAAGCGCCTGAGGAGCGTGGGGGGCACTGGGGGGGTCCAGGGGGAGCAGGGGCACGACCCCACTCCGGCTCGCCCCGGTGGTGGTGGGGCTGGGCTCAGGAAGGGGTTTGGGGAGGGGGAAATGGGGAGGGGGGGTTTGGGGAGGGTTTTGGGGTGTGGGGGGGATTGGGGGGTGTGGGGCTGGATGCGGGATGGGGGATGGAGATGGGGGGAGATGGGGGGTGGAGATGGGGTCAGGGGGGAATGGGGGTGGTGGGGGGTGGAGATGGGGAGTTAAGGGGATGGGGGGTTGGTAATGGGGGTCCTGGGGGATGTGGGGCTGGGGGGATGCAGCTGGGGGTCCTGGGGGGTGTGGGGGATGCAGCTGGGGGGTTGCGGGGATGGGGGGAGCATGGGGCCGGCTGGATGGGAGGCACAGAGCCGGGGGGCACAAGGGCTGTGAGGCCGGGGGGCTGCGCAGATTTGGGGCGCAGGGGGCTGGGCCTTTGGGGGCGCGCAGCAGGGGGGGGGCAGGGGGACATCCGGATGGATGGGGGGGGGCGGATAAAGGAGGGGTCCGGGGGGGGCGCAGGGATGCGGGGCGGGACGGAAACCCACGGCGGCCGGGGGGGGGGGACCCCAAAAAAAAAAAAAAAAAAAAAAAAAAGGGAGAAAAGGGAAAAAGGGGGGGGTGGGGGGGGGACCTACCTGCTCCTCCTCGGCGCTCAGCTCCGCGGCCATGCTGCCGGGCCGGGCCGGGCCGAGCCGGGCTGAGCCGGGCTAAGCGGCGGGGCGGCCGCCGGAGCCCATCCCCGGGGAGCCCGCGGGGCTGCGGGCACCCCCCCGGCCCCTCCCGGCCTCCGGGCGAGGCCGCACGCTCGGAGGGGGAGGCAGGGGAGGCTCCGCCCCGGGGTGGCCGAGGGAGGGAGGGAGGGAGGGGATGGGGGGGGGGGGGGGGAGGAAAAAAAAAAAAAAAGGGGAAAAGTGGGGGAGAAAAGGGGAAAAAAAAGGGGAAAAAAGGAACGGGGAGGAGGGGGGGGGAGGCAGGGAGCGGGGAGGAAGAATGGGAAGGGAGAGGGAAGGGGGAAGGGAAAGGGGGAAAAGGAAGGAGCGAAAAAAAAAAGGAGTGAAAAGGAAGGGATGGAAAATAAGGAATGGAAAATAAATACAAATATAAAAATAGAGATTTTTGTTTAAAAAAAAAAAGGCAAAAAATAAAATAAAATAAAAGCAAACCCGAAGAAATCCTCCCAAGCCCCGGGAAGTTTGGCTCGGCCCCGGGGAAGCTGGGCCGGGCTCCGCTCCCCGCCCCGCTCTGCCCCGGCGGGGGCGGCGGCAGGAAGCGGCCCCGGCCCCGGCTCCGGCCCCGCGGGGAGCGGCCCCCCCCGTTTGCCCCCCCCCCCCCCCAGCTCGGGGGGACCCCGGGCGCGCCCCCCGCAGCTCCCCCGGGGCTCCCCGGCAGCGGCATCCCCGGCCCCCGGGGCTCCCCGAGCCTGCCCCGCAGGCAGCGCTCCCGGCCCTGCCTTCGCTCTCCTCCCTCCTCTGCCCCCCCCCGGGCACCTTCCCGGTCCCGCTGCCCCCCCCCGAGGCTTCCGGCCCCGCCGCCCGGGCCAGGGGACATTTTGTTGGGCGGCGGAGCGCGGAGCTGGCGCCCTGCCCGCAGCCCGAGAGCCTGCACCTCGCTCGCAGAAAATGGAAGAAAGGGCAGAGGGAAGCGGCCGGGCCCGCAGCCGGAGCCCACGGAGCTCTCAGCAGCTCCCCGCTCGCTCGGCCCGACCCAAAATTTGGAGCCCGGTGGGGTGAGCAGCGATGCTGCCTGATGCCCACGGGCAGGGATGGCACCCAGCGAACGCAGGAGCTGCGGCGACCCAACTGTGTTGGCCCCGGGAAGCTTCCGTGTGCCACCCTCTCTCCAAACACAGGCGTTGGTTTCCAGCGGGAATCGCAAGGCAAATATTTATCCCTCCGGCCCTGCTCATGCTTTTAAAAGGGAAACTATGCGGCAGCAGCTGGAGCGGGCGGAAAGCGCCGGCTGCTTCCCTCCAGCTCGCCGCCATCGATCAGGGCTGGAGGCAGCGGCCCCCTCTCAGCCGCGCTTCATCTCCGGCTCCCTCCCTTTCCCTTCGCTGGAGGACCTTGAGAGCTCGCTGAAGGGCAGCAGGGAGCCTGAAACCCGAGCTGCGGCTCTTCCAGCTCCTTCCTCCCCGAGGGATGCGCAGGCCGAGCAGCCAGGTGCCCGGCTTGGGAGGTAGAGCTGGGCTGGATGCGCCCAGACCCCGCTGCCCTCCCGGCGCTCCCAGGGCCTCTCTCCGCACCGCTTTGGGGACCAGGCAGCCCAGCTGCTTGTCCTGTCCCCTCTGGAGCAGTCGCTTTGCAGGCTAAAAACACAACCCGCTGCTCAAAAAGGGCCGTGGACACGGCTGAGCGACAAAAAAGGGGTCCCAGAGCTGGGGCACCGTTTCCTCTCCTCCCGTGGAGGGGGAACAGGGGGCGGCTCCATCCCCCCACCACGCTGACAGCTCCCGTGGCTGTAATCGATAGCGGCGGCATGGTCAGATGATCGCGAGCAGCCCATGTGCTTGGCACAGAAACGAGCATTTTCTGGGAAAAATGGGGGGGTGAGGGCAGAAGGCGAGTGCCCCCGCTATCTGTGTGCAGCCTCCCTGCCGGCGCTATCTCCTGCTGGGCACGGGCCCTCCTTGGGGGCCACAGGGAGGCATTCGCACGCTGATACCCCAATCCCATGGGTTTTGCCCATTTTCCTCTCCCCCTCCACATTTAGAGTGGCCCTGCCCTGGCTTTTGTCATCTCCCCTTCGAAAACAAGCTGGGGACAGCGAGGGTGACGGTGAACCAGCCCCAGGGACACGCAGGAGAGTGGGCTTGGGCAGGTAGGGGCCGGAGCAGCTCACTGCGCTGAGAATTAAAGCCCTTCAGAATTAAAATCCATTCAGTGGCTTTGCAACCAGCTTTTTAATCCCCCTTTGGGAGGCACAGCGTGTCTCGGCCCTGAGGTAGCAGGGAGACGCTGAAGAATTCGCGTTTCTGAGAAGCCTTTTTATTTGGCACCGTCAGTTTTGAGAGCGAAATCATTCCTTCCTCCCTCTGCCGAGAAAAGCCCGGCGCCCAGGCTGGGGCTCACGCAGCACGGAGCCGTGCTGAGAGGCAGGGCCAGCTGTGATGCAAGGGGAGCGAGCTTCTCAGCAACTCGTGGGCGTGGAAAGCCCTGCCTGCAGCTGTACGGCCGGCCCGCTGCAGATTTGTGTTACTAGAAGCAGGCTGACCACAAAACTTTCATTGAGAAGGCCTGGGCAAACAGCTGGGGCAGCAGGCTGCGGCGCCCCGCGGGCACGGCTGCCAGCAGGACCCCCGCCCCAGCAGCAGGATCCCAGAGCCTCGGACAGAAGCAGGGGCTGAGCTGGGAGCCCTGCAGCTCGGGCCAGGTTGTTTTATTTCACAGCAGGTGAGTGCCCGAGCAGAGCAGCAGACGATCCTATGGAAGCCCTCGCTTCTGCGAGGCCAAAAAGTGGCTCTCAGGGCACTGCCATGCCCTTTACACAAAGCCATCCTATAACGATTACCTTCGCTGCCCCCCAAGGGAGCAAGAAACCTTTTAGAAACCTTTTCCTTCCTCCTCCCGCAGCAGCCTAATTCTCCATCCTCACTGCTTCCTCCTGGCCCCCCGGCGAGCCCGCTGGCTGCGGGGTAGACAAATGTTCCAACTCGTAGTGCCCGTCCCCAGCAGTGCTCGGCTGCCCCTCTGCCAGCTTTTTACTCTTCTTGCTCTCGATGATCTGCTGGAGCTGATGCCCAGCGTAGTGGGGCTTGGCTGTGAGCGCCGTGGGGGGCACGGCCAGCCCCAGGATCTCGGGCAGCATGTAGGGCCGGAGCCAGCCCACCAGCGGCGTGCTGCCGGGCGTGTAGTGGGTTTGCTTGTGGTAGAAGAGAAGGCCGTCGACCTGCAGGAAGGAGAGAGAGCAGGTGAAAAGCCCGAGCTGGAGGCTTTTACAGGTCAACCAGAGCGCCAGACGGCGGCACCGCTCCTCGCTCACCGGCCAAAGCCACCAGCTGGATCGTTTTATCTCAATAAACAGCGGAAGGGAAAGGGGAAACCCGCAGAGCTGCTGCCCTGGAAGATCAGCACAGGTCCAGCGCGTGCCAGAAGGCTTTAAGGCATCAAAGGCAAACGTTTCGAGGCACGGAGCAGTGCTTTTCCCCTGGTTGCTGTGATCCCACTCCACAGAAAAGCCACCCTGATTCCGAAGGAGGCAGCGCACAAAAAGGCCATTTTACCGGATTAGGCTTATTTTAAATAATACATTGTGAGAGTAATTAGCGGGAGCGCGTGACGCCAAGGAGCCCCGCTTCCTAGTGACACTGCTACAGCCCTTCCAGCCTGCTTATGCAAAACAAACTCTTAATGCTTCCCAAGAGAGAACTCCTCCAGCGATCAATGACAGCTACGGGCACTCAGGCCTCCAAAGGCTGAGACCCAAACCCTCGTGGCTGGCGTTTTCCCCACGCCCAAGCCTCCTCAGCCCCGCTTTCCCCGGGTTTCCCAGGGGTGCACTCGGCGAGGTTCGATCCTGCTGCAAGACCAGCTGGCTCAGGAGGTGCTGCTGCTTTTAGCTCAGCCTCGTGAGCTCTTAGAGGCCATTTCCCTACGAGTACGAGTGGCTGAGTGGGCACAAGTGGGCGAAGAAAAGAGCCCACCACGTTCAGCTGTCAGGATAAGCTGCAGCAGCCCCAAGTGCTCCCCGGCCCCTCCTGGAGCCCAGAAAAGGGGCACCTGTACCAGCAGTGAGCCGAGGCACGGAGGGACCATGCAGACCGAGGTGAGTTTGGTGCCTGTGAGCCTGGCCAGGCAAAGCGCAGGCACGTGTCCACCTCTGCACCCAGGCACCGGCTTCCAGCAGAGCGGGTGTTGCTCCCCACGTCACTAAGGCTGTAATTTTTGGGCACTGTTAAGAGCTTGCAAAATGATCCCAGAAAAGGGGGGATTCCCGTGCTAGGAACGCACGAAAGCAGAACAGTAAACAGCTTGTGTAAGCCCCCGGATATCTAAGTGCAGAGCTTCTCTCTCCCCCCCTCTCCCTGCTTCCTGGGAAGATGCACGGAGGGGAGCCAGGTCATGCAGCACCACACCACTGCGCTCTCCCAGGAGGATGCATGGCCCTCTGTGAGCTGCGGGGACTCTCCAGCACCCGCAGGAATCTTTTAGCGACATCAGCGCCTGGAAACGCTTCTGCCTTCCAGACCGCTCCACACAGCTTCCCCAAAGGGAGGAATTCGGAGCCTGGTAGAGGGTTAGGTCACATTCCTCCTCCCCGTGATTTCTGCTAAGTTACTGTAACTCCCATGTTCCTTTCGGTTTATTTAATCTGTTGGCTGTGCTCTTTATCCTGAGTCACTACTCCGACACCAGCCACATCAAGATAAGGACTGAGAGTGGCTCCATATGACCGAACCGTTTGAGAAACTGGCCGGGAAGGATTTCACATTTTACAGCCATGCTTTCCAGATGTTAGGTGCTCGGTAGCATGCCTCCTCCTCCACATTGGTTTTTCTGAGAGACTTTGGCTCCCCCTGCCTTCCTAGAAACTCGCATGCTGTTTTACTCAAACCCGTGGGTAGCTCCTGAAATCCCCTCCAAAAAACACTCAAAACTCAGTGCCAGCTGACTGATCCAAAGTCCACCAAATTCAATGGAAAAAAAAAAATAAACAAACTCCTGCTCTGAAAATAGCAAACTAGGAGCCAGGTCCTAACTCCGAGGTTACAGATTAACTCTGAGGACCCAAATTTGAAAGCACAGACCACGTCTGTCGCCACCGCACCCATAATAGCCTGCTAATAGGCTGAATAACTACGGCCACTCCATGGCCAATAGGCAGAGAAAAGCCTCCCCTGCTTTCACAAACCTATTTAGCGTGATTCATCACAGGATGCTGGGCCCAGGCGCAAGGAGATATCTATTACACTGCCCAGTCTACAGCGAGGCTGCATTTGTGCCTTCCGCAAAGACAGCAGGAGAAAGGGGATGCCTGCTGCTGCTGAGGCAGTCAGTTGAGCACGTTGAGTTTTTCCTTCAGGTTTTCTTCCGTTCCCACTCCCCTACCTGTGTTCAGAGCAGTTTCTGACTTCCTTTGACGACCGTCCTGGCCTTAACGAGCAGAAGGCAAAGTCAGCCCTCACAGCCCAACGAGCCTCCCCGAAGTTTAAACCTGCACTTCTGTTAATCGCTAATTTGGGCCGTGCAAGCACAAGAGATGCAGTCCCAGCGTGGCTTTTGGCTTCGTAGGACAAGCGACCCCTGTGGAGGCTGCCCCTGAGCTAGGAGCAAGGCTGAGCGCGCTGCAGGAACTGCTGCAGCAACTGGAAGAACTCCTGGCTCCCAGGTGTTTGTCACGGCCCCTGCATCCCCCATCCTTCTCTGCTTTGGTGTCAGGTCAGCCACCAAAAGCTTCTAAAGACATTTATGCTGGGGCCTGCGACTCGCCACCACGCAGCTGAGCTGCTCGGCATGCCAGTGCCTGCCCTGCCCTTCCTCACCGGGCAGCAGAGGGGCTGAGCAGCACTGCCAGCCCCTCTTACAGGGGAATGAGCGCCTCTGAGAGCCAGCCAGGAACAGCAGGAGCCAAAGGCAGGAAGCTGCTGGCTCTGGACAGAAGCGAGAAGCAGATCTCACGCTATTCCCTCTGCCAGATCTGGTGGCAGCAGCACGACAGATCCCTGGGGCCACATCCCAGAAGGACTCAGGTGCCCTCAGAAGCTGCCGTAAGCTCAAACCCACCCCTTTCCTCCCCAGGAGAGGCAGCACAGCTGAGTGTCCTGCACACGGGCAGATGGGAGCAGCTCGAGGGAGGAAACACAGAGTCTGCAGCAGATTTCAGAGAATGACACCAGCCTGCCTGCCTCACAGACCTCCTGAGAGCTGCCAGCATGCAGCCCGGCACGCTGCACAGATCCTCAGGCCCCGCCTGGGGCAGTAAATGGAGCCAGCTCTGGCCCTGAGAAGTTCAGCTCTGTCATATTTCCACGTGAATGTGAGTTATGCTACTTCTGGAGGCAATCTCCATCAACTCAGCTCTTCCCAGGGAGGGTAAGGACAGTCCAAACGCAGGGAACACTGCGCTTTAACCCTCCCTAACCAGCCTGGCTGGACGCAGCCTGTGCTTGGTGACAGCCACCCGCACACAAAGCCTCCCCCAGACACTTCCCTGAGCAGCACGGCAGCTCTGCAGGCTTCCCGCAGGCCTGGGGAGAGCTCCCAGGAGGCTGGGGCGCGCTCTGGCAGGCACACAGCCAGGCTGTCCCCCTGCGTGTTCTCACCTCGAACGGGTAGTCCGCGGCCAGCACCGTGCACAGGCTCTCCGGGGTGCAGGGATAATTCTGCAGGCCCACAAATTTGTACTGAAATGGTAAAAGAAGAAGGTTAGAGGAGAGAAAACCACACAGCCTAAGAGAGAACAATTCAGTGAACCAAGCACTGGCGTGGAGGTGGCTGAGGAGGAAGCGCTTCCCCTGGTTCAAGACCTAACAGGAATGACAGGAGGAAGGAACCAGACAGGTCTCAGGCCTCGCTCCAGTAACAGCGAGCAACCTCTGAGAGACAACCCGGGATCGTCACGACCCCCGGTGTGCCCAGAAGGATCTATTTCAGGTATTTTGCATCTATCATCCCTGCTCCAAACACCCCCCCCCCCCGGCATTTTGTTGGGGGTGCAGATGGCAGAGGCCCAGCACACGGCTCCTGCGTGCCCCTGCTACCTTTCCCCAAGCATCCGAGGCTGCAGGAAGGGCTTTTCAGGGGAGCTGACCCTGAGATGCTCTCTTAACCAAAATAGAAAGTGATGACCTCTGGGCAGGATGCAAAGCAGACAGATGTCTGCGCCCGGCTGCTGGCTCAGCCAAGCAAACCTTTCCACCCAGGAAATGGAAGCTGAAACGACCCCCCCCTCATCAGGGAGCTGTCTTCTGGATATTCTTGTTGGAGTCAGAACAGGATGTTCTCCGAACACGGATACCTCCGAGCTGGCACAGGAGCATTTCTCCCCATTAATGAAAGATCTGCTCCACCCAGAGGCTGCTCTGCTCGGCTCTGCCAGCCAGGCTGCCAAATCCTCTCGTGTCTGTCCCCCAAAATCACTTTCCATGCCACCGCGGGTGCCAGGGCTGGCCCCCACACACACACATACAAGTCTTCAGGGACTCCATGTGGCAACGCAACGCCCACCCCTACAACTTCAGCGACTGGCTTGAGCTCCTGCTAAAGCTTTGTGATCCTTTATCCCTGCCTCGTAAGCCCGGACTACCAAAGAATAATTCCCTTTGTAGGCAGGCTGCAGACCGACACCGTCCCTCTAGAAACCACACTGGTTTTCCGTTCCACTGCAAGCAAAAGCTGAAAGAGGCGTGGACGTTAGCCGATATCCTGCAGCCTGATCTCCCTCGGCACTTTGGCTGGAAAGAAAAACCCACATTCATTTACAACGCTCCGCGGCTCTATTTACATCCTGAACATGTCAGCCCATTCCGTCACAAGTACGCTTTGAAGCCTGATCTGGAAGGGGAAAAAAAAAACAAAAACCTTTTGCCTGCAAACAAAAGTGCTGAAGCCTGCTGAACAGGAGAGCTTACCCCCCAGCCTCCTCCTCCTGCCAGTACAAAAGAACTTACTGGATTAATCCTGCTTTTCTCTCCCAGCCCTTCCTCCTCTTGGATCTTTGAGAAGAGCCAGAAGAATCTGAAGTCAGTCTGAGAAAAGAGACAGCCCTTAATTACTATCCGCCACACATCCGCACCTGCAGGGCCGCAGCCCTCACAGATTTACAACGAGCACCCTCCCCTTGCATACTTCCCTCGAAACACCCCCAAAATTTGCCCCGTTACGCCAGCAGCCGCCAGCCCGTGAGCTGTAGAGGTGCTGCTGGTTCGCTCCAGCACTCCCCACACTGCGTGCTGAGCTCCGGCTGAAATCCAGCTCAGGGAATCGGGAGCAGAAGGGAGAAATTCTGTACCTGGCAGTCGTACACAGGGTGTCCCCTCCAGCACATCACGTCGAGGATGTAGTACGTCTGCTGCGCCTCGCTGTAGATGCAGTCCAAGATGCAGTACACTGTGCACAGACACCAGGAGGTCCGGGCGCTGCCCAAGCCCCCCGCAAGCGCCAGATCAAATCCCTCCTGCACCGAGCCCCAGCACAGACCCGGAGGTGCAGCGGGAAGCCCTCCTTGTACACGTGGCCACAAAAAGCTTTTAGCTCAAAGGATCTACAAAGGTACCACACAGAGGCACAGCAAGCAAAAGCATCTGTCAGGCACAGGCGCTTTATCCATCTCTATCCCCACCCCAGTGCTAGTCAAGCCATGGTAAGAGATATTAACGAGAGGAGGCTGTAAGCAGCTCTGCTGCTCAACGTAACAAGAATGCTGAGGTTTAAGCAATTAACCAGGCAGCTAATTAGAAGAAATGGTCTTATTTAGCATAAAGGCATCAGAGATCGTCCACATCTAGGTATCTCCAGAGAAACACAGACAGCCTGAAGCTGACTAACCCCTGGCACCAGAAATGGGAGCAATTTGGGGGCCCCGGGGAGCAGCACTGAGCCACCATGCCTGTGGATACGTGCACATGCATGGAGAACACAGAGGCTGTCCTCTGCCTGCCCCAAAACCCTCCTCAGATCACTCGTTACCTTTCTCACTTGTTGAATTGTGCCGGTTTCCCCCTGGGAGCAGCGAGGGGAACCTGGTGACACAGAAGCCGCTCTTGGTGTAAGCTGCTGTGGAGCCCTGAGAGGAAAAGGGAGGCAGAACAACGTCACAGCTGGGCTCAGCACCCTCCTGCCGCAGCGGGAACACCCCCGGGGTGCTGGAACACAGCTCGCACCAACCCGCCTGCCCAAGGAGAGGTGCTGGGTGCTCAGCACGGACCCCAGAGCCTAAATGTTTGCAGTTCTCAGGGGGTTCATGCCCTGGGGAGCTCGACACACAGGGCAGCCTTAGGCTGGCTGGCACAGGAAGGGTGCAGGACAGGACACCCCTCACTCTGTTACGTACCCGGGAGGCCACGACCAGCGCCCGCTTCCCGACAGGACACACCACAGCAAGCCACTCCTGCTCCAGGTCCGCGGGGACGTCGATCAGCCACTCGGACAGCATCAGCTGCGAGGAAACATGGAAAAGCAGCTAGTAACAACGCCCCTGCAGCCACGGGAAACACACGGCTCAAGGACAAAGCAGGAGGGTTTTGGCTCTGTTCTACAGCTCCTCCAGGTGCTTCATGGACAACTTGTGTTGCTCACCCAGCCGAATTACAGCACCCAGCTCCCTCTGACTAACCTGTACAGCAGGCTCTTCCCCTAAGTCTTTCTCCTGACTAAGCTTCCGAGCACAGTGCAGGGCTCGCAGCCCTCACCTGGGTATCCCGGTCCCTGTGCCAGCCTCACTTCAGCCGTTCATTTCATTCATTTAGTTTTAAACAGCTGGCGGACCTCAGGGATGCGTAACGTTAGGGATAAAGAGAACAGCTGAGCTCTCTCCAGGCCCCTCAGCACGTTTGGTGGCACCAGCACAAAACCTGCGTGCCTTTTAGAGGAAACGTGGCGCTGAGGCTGAGGAGCCCCCTCTGCCAAGGTTTCCCTTCCTTCCTGGTGCCCTAAGGGTGATGAGAAGCAGAAATCTTTAATGTGCAGTGGTGCATAAACGCCTTTAGCAGGGCTAAAACCCCCCAGAGCCCGCACGCAGCCCAGCTCAGCTTGTGTACGCAGCAGGAACGCTGAGCCACTGAGCACCCAGAGCCCGCCTGGGGCAGCCGCACACCTGGTTGGCGTAGCGCTTGGGCAGCTTCCTCTCCACCTCCATCTCCTCCTCCTCATCCTCCTCTTCATCCTCCTCCTCATCGCTCTCCACCCCAACCCAGTCGTTCTCTGCCAGCCTCCGGGCATGGTTCACGTAGTCCAGCCGCCTCCTGGAGGGGGAAGGAGAAGGAATAAAGGCACAGGGCGACACAGACACCCCTCCCCCGTCCCCCTCAGGCCTCCCCCGTCCCCCTCAGGCCTCCCCCATCCTCCTCCCCCCCCTCAGGCCTCCCCCCCCCCAGCCAGGCCCCGCAGCCCTGCGGCCTCCCCCGCTGCCCCCGCGTCCCCCCCATCGGCTCTCACTCTCTCTGGAGGCGGAGGAGGCGCTGCCGGCGCTCGGCCTGCCCCAGCCCCCCCCCGGAGCGGCCCTTGTAGGCGCCGAGCCTCGGGTGCGGCCCCGCGGGCTCGGCCAAGGCCTGCAGGGCCGCGCTCAGCTCCTCCATAGCAACGCCCGCGCGCACTTCCGCCCACCGAGACGCCGCGCCTAGAGCGCCGCCGCCCCTGTCACAGCGCCCCCTGCCCGCTTGGAGGACCCCACCCCCGCCGCTCCCCCGGAGGGGAGGGGAGCGGTGGAAGGGGGGGGGGGGGGGCGGATTTGGGGGTCCCGTACGGCGGAGGGGGGGGGGGAACCGGGATGGGGCCGGTGCGGGGAGGGAGGGGGGAGGCCGGCCCGGTGCCCCCCCCCGGGGCGGGTGCTGCCTGCAGAGGGCGGCGGAGGGCGGCGCGGGGAGCCCGGCGGGGCCGTGCGTCACCGGGGGGGGGCGGCGGGGCCAGCCCGGCACCGGCACCGGCAGCGGGGAACCGGGGAGCGGCACCGGCACCGGGACCCGCACCGGGACCCGCACCCGCACCGGGCCCCGCCGCCCGCTCCGTCCCGCTGCAGGTTTGCGGGAACGGAGAGAGCCGGGGGTGGGGTGGGAGGGGGGGGGCGGCTGGGAAAAGAGGGGGGGGCAAGCAAAAAAAAAGCAAGAAAACCACAAAAACAAACCAAGGGAAAGAAAAAAAAACAAGCAAACTGAGCAAAACAAGGCGAAACAACCCAAAAAAAGGCTGGCGGAAAGCCCCCCCGGGCTGCCTGCGGAGGGGGAGGCAGCTGGGGGGGGAGCGGGGGGGGACAGGGGCTGAGTGGGGCTGAGTGGGGCTGAACCGTGCCGAGCTGTGCCGAGCTGTGCCAAACCCTGCCGAGCTGTGCCAAGTGGTGCCGAGCCGTGCCGAGCCGTGCCGAGTGGTGCTGAGCCCCCCCGGTGGATGCTAAGCCCGGCGGCCGCCCCCCCGGGGGCCGGTGGCCAGCAGCGGGGCTCCGTGCCTCCAGTGGGGCGTCGAGCCCTGAAGCGGCTCCCGCTCGCTTTCCGCCACCTTTCCCCCCAAAACCGGCCTCGGCTCTTCGGGGACTCCGCTTGAGGCCGTCCTCCGCCGCCTTCCCCCCCCCCCCCCTTACCCTCCCCAACCTCCCGGCCATGGCGCTGCGAGCCCGAGCGCTCTACAACTTCCAGAGCGAGAACAGGGAGGAGATCAGCATCCAGGAGAACGAGGAGCTCGTCATCTTCAGCGAGGACTCTCTGGACGGCTGGCTGCAGGGCACCAACAGCCGCGGCGAGACCGGCCTCTTCCCGGCCTCCTACGTGGAAATCCTCCGCTCCCGAGCGGGCTCCGGCTACACCGAGAGCCCCGGCAGCCCCGCCGGCTCCCCCGGGCACGGCTCGGCCTTCTACGCCTCGCCGCCGAGCGTCTCGTACCAGGGCAGCTTCGAGGATGACGACGATGATGACTGGGATGACTGGGACGACGCCTGCACGGTGGTGGAGGAGCCCCGCGGCCCCCCGGGTGCCAACGGGCACCCCTCGGCCGGGCTGCAGCCCCCAGCGCCGCCCTACTACGGCCACCAGCCCGCCGGCTACCGGGCCAAGCCGTCGCTGGAGAGGCAGGACAGCTTGAGCTCCTCCAAGAGGGGCAGCGTGGTGGGCAGGAACCTCAACCGCTTCTCCTGCTTCGTCCGCTCGGGGGTGGAAGCCTTCATCCTGGGCGACGTGCCCCTGATGTCCAAGATCGCCGAGGCGTACAGCATCGAGATGGGGGCGCGGGGCCCCCAGTGGAGGGCCAACCCCCACCCCTTCATCTGCTCGGTGGAGGACCCCACCAAGCAGACCAAGTTCAAGGGCATCAAGAGCTACATCTCCTACAAGCTGACCCCCAGCAACATCAACTCGCCCGTCTACCGGCGCTACAAGCACTTCGACTGGCTCTACAACCGCCTGCTGCACAAGTTCACCGTCATCTCGGTGCCCCACCTGCCCGAGAAGCAGGCCACCGGGCGCTTCGAGGAGGACTTCATCGAGAAGCGCAAGCGGCGCCTGATCCTCTGGATGGAGCATATGACCAGCCACCCCGTCCTCTCGCAGTACGAGGGCTTCCAGCACTTCCTCTGCTGCCGCGATGAGAAGCAGTGGAAGCTGGGCAAGCGGCGGGCCGAGAAGGACGAGATGGTGGGCGCCAGCTTCCTGCTCACCATCCAGATCCCCACGGAGCACCAGGACCTGCAGGACGTGGAGGACCGGGTGGACGCCTTCAAGGCCTTCAGCAAGAAGATGGACGACAGCGTCCTGCAGCTCACCAACGTGGCCTCGGAGCTGGTGCGCAAGCACGTGGGGGGCTTCAGGAAGGAGTTCCAGAAGCTGGGCAACGCCTTCCAGGCCATCAGCCACTCCTTCCACATGGACCCCCCCTACAGCTCCGACGCCCTCAACAACGCCATCTCCCACACGGGCAAGACGTACGAGACCGTGGGGGAGATGTTCGCCGAGCAGCCCAAGAACGACCTGTTCCTCATGCTGGACACTCTCTCTTTGTACCAGGGGCTCCTCTCCAACTTCCCGGACATCATCCACCTCCAGAAAGGTACGGGGGCTCTCCCGGGGGTGGTTTCTTCTCCCTTAGGGCCGAGGATGTCTTGCATGATGGCCCCATGTGCGGAGTGGGACCTGGGGTGCAGCCCTGTGCTGTGCGGGGACGGGAATGGGGTTTGGGATGGAGATGGGGATGAGGATGCATGGGGATGGAGACGGGAATGGGGCTGGGGATGGTGGTTAGGATGGGGACGAGGATGAGGATGGGGTTGGTGATGAGGATGGGGATGATGGTTAGGATGGGGACTAGGATGAGGATGGGGATGACACTGAAGATAAGCATGATGATGAAGATAAGGATGACAAGGAGGATGGGGATGACGTTGAGGATGGGGATGATGATGAGGATGGGGATGACGTTGAGGATGGGAATGACAATGACAATTAGGATGGGGATGATGATGAGGCCGGGCATCGGGACCATCACACGTGGCAGCACTTCCCAACCCCTGGAGGTGCTGCTGGCTCCAGGCTCAGTTTTTGGACCTCTTGGGGACAACCAGGGTCAAAGTCTTTGCGAGTACACCCCTGCACGTCAGAGAAGAGGACGGCTGGGCCCAGCACCCGGCTGCCCAGAGTGCTCAGCACCCCGTGCGGGGTGGCTGCGGAGGGCAGGGGATAAATCCCAGCCGGCGGTGTCCCCGTGCCCTGTCCGGGTGTGACGCACAGCCGGGCTGGGTGTGGGAGCGGGGCCGAAGTCCACGCACCCCTCCCAGGACACGGCAGGGAGGGGACATCCGTGCTGGCCGGTGGCTTTGGGACCGGGGGCTTTTCCCCGGAGCCCCCGCGTGGCTCCGTGTCCCCGGGGGCCGGCCGGAGGAGCAGCCCTGGCCGCTTCCCTGCGCTCCTCTCCTCACTTTGTTTACCACCGCGGGCTGGATCCCGTCCGGAAGCGAGGCCGCGTGGGCAGAGCGGAAGGCAGGATTTGGCCTCCAACCTTTGCTTCCTCCGGGCTCCTCCTCCTCCTCCTCCTCCTCTGGGGGCAGCGGCAGCTCCCCGACCCCGGGTCCCCGCTGCCGGCAGGGAGAGGGAACGAATTCCCAGCGTCCGCTGGAGGCCAGATCCTGTTTGCAGGCAAACAGCCTCTGTGCTAAGGAGGGGGAGGAATGCAGGGCCAGAGCCAGGCGGGATTCTTTCGAAACCGAGCTATAAAAATAAAAGGAAGGAGGGGGAAATCTGGTGTCGGAGCATCAGCCGTGGCTCGGGCACTCTCCGTCCCCAGGATGCTGCAGTCAGCAATGTCCTGCCCGGCTCTCCAGGGCTGCCCCATGCTGTTATCAGCCCAAACTGCACTTTGTAGCAAAGTTTCTTTTCGGGAGCTCACCCCAGCTGCCAGCTCCGAGGCCGGGCTGTTATCAGCTGGCAGCGGCACCCGTGCAAGGGTTGGGTGCTGTGGTGAACCACCTGAGCACACCGCTCGCCCCAAGGAGAGCTGCTCCTGGTGGGAAGCAGCTCGGGGCTCTCAGGAGCCGGGGCTGGAGGGGCCGGGGGACCCAAAGACATCCCCGATCCCTTTAGGGGATTTCGGGGTCCCCGCCAGCTCTCACTCTGCCCTGCCTCGCCAGGCGCCTTCGCGAAGGTGAAGGAGAGCCAGCGGATGAGCGACGAGGGCCGCATGGACCAGGAGGAGGCGGACGGGATCCGCAAGCGCTGCCGCGTGGTGGGCTTCGCCCTGCAGGCCGAGATGAACCACTTCCACGAGCGGCGCGTGGCCGACTTCAAGAGGATGATGCAGTCCTACCTGAAGCAGCAGATCATCTTCTACCAGCGCGTCAGCCAGCAGCTGGAGAAGACGCTGCGCATGTACGACAACCTCTAACACCCCCCCCGACGTGCCTGCTTGCTGCCCCTCCGAAACCACGCAGTTTTCTCTCCGCGGCCTTGCAGAGCTTCTCTGTTCAGGGGGGCTGAGGACGAGTGGGAACTCATGACGCTAGTGACCAAATACCTTCGGGGTCTCCCCCAGGCGGGCTGCGGTGCCGTGCCACTGCGCAGCGGGTCCAGGGGGGACGCGGGTGTTTCCCACGAGACACACGGACAGCGACGTGGCGGTGCTGGTAGCTCTGCCCACCCGTTTTTAGCTTTTCCAAAAAAAAAAAAAACAACAACAAAAAACACTAAACCCGTCCTCCCGGAGGAGAGAGGTGGGAGCATCCCGGCTCGCTGGGAGGAGAAATCAAAGCGGTCGACATTTTGCACACTGAGAGTTTTTCAGAGGGGAAAGGTCTTTATTTGGAAGAGAAATTTTTGTTTTGTTTTGGGGTCATGAGATATTTTCAATATTTTCCATTTTTCGCAACTGTTTCTGCAGCATTTTTACCGATTTTTAAATAGACACAGAAGCGAACGGAAATCTCTTTTCTCAAGCACTGCTGTTGACTAGAAAAAGGGATATATATATATAAAAAAAAAAAAAAAAACACCAAAAAAAAAAAAAAACAATCCAGCCCACAGCGTTTTCAATAAAACCGTCGGTAGAAACGTTCCCCCGATCCCTGGGAGGTTTGGGGGGAAGTGGAGCCGCTCCAGGAGGGGCTCCATGGAGGGGGCACGGCGCTGAGCATCCCTCCCGCGCGTCCCCCCAGCGCGGGGCTGGCAGGAGGAGGGGAAGTGGCTGGGATAAATCACGCCGAGGGAAGTCGGGGCCG